AAAGGCCCAAGAACCCGAGCAATGGAACAACCAAATAACCAAGAAAAACTTTCGATAAAAAAAAAAAACTGATTACAACTGAAAATACAAAGAAATGCCTTTAATGATATTAAATATTTTGTCTGCTGTTCATTTACCACAAAACTATTAAAATGAATTTTGTCCTAGGTGTGAAGTAAAAATCTAATAAATGGTTTCTATAAATATCTTAAATTTATAATAACTATAACTGGTTATTGTATACATTTGGTTTAAAAGTTTTGTTAGACCTAATTCTAGCATTACATACACAGTGAAATTATGTCTAGCATAACATAAAAATTAATCATAAGATATTTAACTCACAAAAAGAAAACGTGCTTAGAATGTTACAATTTGGCAAAACATAATACTTTCTTTTTTGTAGTTAAGCACAAAGCTACGTAAAGGGCTATATGTGTTCTTCCCACAATGGGTATCGAAACCCGGTTTCTAGCGTTGTAAGTCCGCAGGCATACCGCTGTGCCATTGGGGGGGGGGACAATTCAATGAGGACTCGAAGTAAAAACAACAAAGCTACGTAAAGGGTTATCTGTGCTCTGCCCACCACGGGTATCGAAACCCGGTTTCTAGCGTTGTAAGTCCGCAGGCATACCGCTGTGCCACTGGGGGGGGGGGCAATTCAATGAGGACTCGAAGTAAAAACAACAAAGCTACGTAAAGGGTTATCTGTGCTCTGCCCACCACGGGTATCGAAACCCGGTTTCTAGCGTTGTAAGTACGCAAACGTACCGCTGTGCCACTGAGGGCTGCTACTTCCTATAAACAGTTAAAAAAGAATAAAAATAGTTATACTTGTCATAAGATATTAATTTTGCTTCCAAAAGACGTTTACAATATAAGGCATAACACTAGTAGTAGTACTACTTGTATTGTTAAACAACATACAAACACGTGTGTGAACAGTTTATATGATTATATAATCTATATAGAATGTTACTTATGTGAGTAATATTACTTCTAACTGGTTTACAACATAAAGGAAAAAACATAGCTTATTTGAACAAATGTTTATGGTGCAATGGCCAGCAAAACTCCCTTGAGTTGAACTAACTTAGGCCTACGTAATAATTATTAATCTGCGTCATTTAGTAAATGGTTTGCATTGAGACTAAGCCTACTCTAAACTACAAGTTTATATTGATGTTAGGCCTACGTTAATTACGAATGTATTTATTACTTTACCACTAAATATTTTTATCGTAATGTTGTAAGTTGTGCAAATTATGCATAATCACTATAAACAGGTCTTGTAATCAGCACAAACTTACATTCAATCCTATGTCCTCTAGAACGTAGCTCGAATAATAGTCAACGATACACTGCGCACGCTCACGAAATCTTTCAATTGTTCCATTGTTCCACCACTGTTTTAAATTACCGTCTTTATCAAACTGGCGCCCTATTAAATAATTTTCAAAATAAATTATTTAGAATTTGAACGGAAAAAAGAATAACAATGTTAAACTTTTCACACAAATTTTATTTATTATTAATTATCACGAATTAAGAAAATATTACATTAAAATTACCACGAAACAATGTTTTTTAAATATGCTAAAGGTGGGGGGGGGGGGGTTATTATAATTGGAAAATCTAAATGTTGATTATAATTACGTTTCCCCAGCAAAAGGCATTCACATCATAACAATTCCTTTGTATTTTATATTGTTTCCTTGGAGACTGTGTATTTAGTTTATCCAATCATACAATGGCTTAGAAGTAGTTACCTTGTTTGAAAGCAAATACAGTTCAATGTTATTGTTGTAATATTGTCACTATTTATGTTAGTAACACATAACTAAACGTAATTATTGTTAATTTTATAAGCTTTGTCGCTAACTAGGTAATTTATGCATGGTATAATAAAGCTGTTGTGAACGTTTTAGGTGATAAAACAAACAAACGTAATCTTTAAATTTATCATCACATGTTTAAATAACTGGTAACATCTGATTTGACGAGTTAACTTGCATAAAAACCGATAACCTATGATCTGAACATATAACATGCATGAAGATACGGGTAACCTATGACCTGGCAGAGTTTCCTTAACTTATTGTATGATCTATAAGTAATTTCAGAACTAACGATCAGCTTAACTTACTGTGCCGACCTGGCATATACGATCAGGGTTTCATATTCCAGCATTCAGATCCATAAATAATTCGGTAATCCTCAAAACAGAGTTTTATTTTCTTCTCGCCAGATCCATGTGTAAATTGTAGTATAAGGAATCCCTTACTCTGTCACTGAATGATTGAGTAATGTAGTAGGTTAATCCAGAGTCTATGACCTTGTTGACAGATCCGTGTATAATACCGTAGTATGCGGTGATAATTATCTTACCTTGCAGTCAGGTCAACGAGTGACCTGTGAGCTTAAACCAGACTCCTTTACCTTGTCGTCAGATCCACGTGTAATATCTTAGCTCATGACCGAGTCAGATCAACGAGTGACCTGTGAGCTTAAACCAGACTCCTTTACCTTGTCGTCAGATCCACGTGTAATATCTTAGCTCATGACCGAGTCAGATCAACGAGTGAACTGTGAGCTTAAACCAGACTCCTTTACCTTGTCGTCAGATCCACGTGTAATATCTTAGCTCATGACCGAGTCAGATCAACGAG